AATTGGAGGGCTTGCCTTATTTCTTACAGTTCATGGGCAGATCATCCTGGATTAAAGGATGGATGCTACAGTTTTCTCAAGTGGCCTAGGCAGGGCCTTGCTCTCATGGAGTTTGAAGTTTAGCAAAGCTTTTCCTTCATAGAAAGAAAGACACAGCACTCATGCTTCCCAGGCCTGAGTCCCCCAAAACCACCATGGTTTTGAAGCTGGAAAAGGTCATGGGCACTAGAGTGAGCCCCTGTGCATGTGAGTGCTCACCACTCCCCCATTAGCTGGACGTGAGCTTTGAGTTATGTTCCTCCAAGTGAGATGGTCGGGCCCTGAGTCATCTGTATTTTCTCATTGCATCTTCAGTGTGGCTCAGGAAACATTTACCAAATTGGCCTGGCTTTGCTATCAAGGGTTTCCTGACTGATGCTTCACGTTACAAACAATTGAGATAAAAGACCAGTAGCATCCAGAAGACACCTAGAAAAAGAAACATTCCATTTCCACCCAGGCCGTGCAGCTTGATAATTCCATCTGATCCCTTTTGTTTTCTTCGCTTTAGTATTGTCAGCTGAAGTTGGTGGAGCTCAGAAGACCCATGAATCAGATAAACTTTCTGATACTTTTTAAATCTCTAAAATTTTATGGGAAGGACAATAAACCATTGTACTCCTGGGGGAAGGAAGGGAGGGACCCTCCTAAGATCTCCTAATCTGAGACATTTTAATCAAGAATAAAAAGAACTATCATCAATGTGGGCATTATCTTCCTGTAGGGCCCTATGTGTGTGCTTTACATATATTATCTAACCTAATCCTTATAGTGACCCTATAGCTGAGGTGCTATAAGTAGGTTCACTTCACAGAAAAGTGTAATGACTTGCTCAAGGCCATACAGCTCATATGAGTTAGAGCCAAGATTCAGACCAAGAGCTGTGGAACTCCAAAGCACAGGCTCTTAGCCACTGCACCAGTGTTTCTCAAAGCAGGAGATTAGTTAACATGAGCAGATTCCAAGGCCTCAGATCTATTGTCTCAGAATCCTGGGAGGTGGGCCCAGGAATCTGCATATTCCAAACCACACCGCGGGGTTCTGAGGCACTGAAAAGTTTTAGAGTGCTGGCTGACATTGCTGCCTCCTGATTTGGCATACAATAAGGTTAGAATGCTAAAACCCAACATTGCTTAGCAATTTTCCCAGCACATCAGCTGCCCAGTACTGGTCACTGAAAACCAGGACTCTGTTAGTCAGACCAACACAGCTTATCCCCTTCACCTAGACCAGGGACTCTATACCTTTATGGAGTCACATACCCCTTTGAGAATTTGTCCAAAGCTCTGGATTGTCCCCTAAATGCATCTACACAGAGGCCTGCACTCCTTCGGTGGCCCCCTCACAAAATATTCATATACACAACCCTCTTCATAGTTCCAGGGGATATATACATCTCCTGAAGTTCCTTCATAAACCATCCCCCCATATGCCCCCAGGTCCCCACATTACAGAAACATCTGATCTAGAAATCTGAAAACAGACTAGGTTCTGTGGTTATGTTTTTTTTCTAATGTTATCTGTGTTAGAGATGCACACTGAAATATTATAGGTGAAATGATATGTTGTCTGTGATTTGTTTTAAAATGCTCCCAGGCATGTGGGGGTGAGGGGCATGGAAAGTGGCAAAATAGATCTATAAGATTGGCTATGAGGCTTGGAGATGGGTTCATGAGATTCATTCTAATGTTCTATCTATTTTTGTATCTGTTTAGAAATGTCCATAATAAAAACTATAAAAATTTAGTTGAACTGCATGGTTTGTGAATTATACTCCCAACAAAGCTGATTTTTAAAAAAGTAACCTCTTATTCTGGAGCTGCCTTAATCTGTCAACGGACACACTGAAGGCCAAGAGAGACCCACTTATTTTTCTGCCTGCTGATCTTTCAGGTCACAGCAACAGTCAAAACATCCTGATCTTGCTAAGCTAGCAGGAACTCTATGCTAAGCAGGCCACATTGGGGGATTGGGAAGACTAGTTGCTGCATATGAAGGGCCACAAGCAGGAGGCCTAATTGCTTCTACTAATAAGTATTACTCTGCTAATAATGAGCATAATAATGACAATTATCACTTACAACCTATGTCAGAGCACTTTACAAAGAGAAACTTAACTGAAAGTAACCAATAAAGAGACCAAAAAATGTAGCAGTGACCTATTAATAGGCCAACTTCCCTGCTGTCTAATGCTTAGAATAAGAATGAGGTTTCCTGAGTGGATTTTCAAACTTCTTCAAGCTAGCAATTGGTGATGAGGTTTGTTAACAAGACAGAGACCAGAATAATCACCAACAAGTTTTCTATACAGAAGGCTATGGGGGTGGAGGTAAGGAATGATTGCTTGTATGCAAACATCTGCAGAATTCCCTCTTCCCCCTAGGTCAGTGGTCAGCAAACTGCGGCTCACGAGCCACATGCGGCTCTTTGGCCCCTTGAGTGTGGCTCTTCCTAAGCCTTAGGAGTAACCTAATTAAGTTAATAACAATGTACCTACCTATATAGTTTAAGTTTAAAAATTTGGCTCTCAAAAGAAATTTCAATCATTGTACTGTTGATATTTGGCTCTGTTGACTGAGTTTGCCGACCACTGCCCTAGGTGCTGGTGATGCCTGAAGAGCCACCTCCAATGGACCCCCAAGTATTGTGGCTCTTACTTACCTAGAGCAATTTGCAGAGTTGACTTAACCACACCTTTTTGGCATATGTCCTTCTGTGACTGTAACTTCTTTGTAAAATGGGATGACAATGGTCTCTACCTCAGAGGGTTAATGTGAGGTTTAAATGAGATTATCTACATAAAGCCCTTAGAACAGGGCCTGGGCACAGGACCTACATTCTGTTAGTTACCCTCATTAATATTGTTTTCTTTAGATGGCTGCAAAGCAAACTGAGCCATTCCTCCAAATTTCATCTGGATTGGAGGGAAAATGACCAGAGTGTGATCCCTGCCTCCGATCTTCACCCAGGGCTGGCCATTCATTTACCAAGACTACAAGTGCAGTAACTTAAACTCTGATGGATTACACTGAATCAGCCCCGCACATTCAAGTGGGCAATTGCTCCTCTCACAAATTCTCCAAAAGGAAGACCTATGTCAGCCACAAATGGAGAAGAGATGACCCCCTTCTGAAACTTACTCCTCTATTTTATTTCTTTAATTAGTTTTAATTAGCTTAATGTTTAAAATAACTTTGACTATTTATTTAAAAAAATTTTCTGTCCAGAGAGGCATTAAGGCATTTTTAATCAGTCCACCCCTCTAAGGATGCTCTCTGAAGTCCAGCTAGTCTCCAACACTGCAAAGGGAGCCCTGTAATCTGCTCTTAAACATACACTCTGCTCCCTATTTTGATTCTCTGTGAGTGGTACTCAATGATGCCAGCTTGACAAACAAGACCAAAAGAAACCTCCACAACTCTATTAAATAAGCAACATGGCGCATTTGATTTTCCCGGAATAGAATCTTGAGTGCCTCTTGGATGAATTTAAAAAAAATAAAAACAAATCCTTCTTTAGTGGCTCTAACAGAAACCATAAGGAGACTAACTAGCAAGCTCAGGGTGAGTCCAGCTATGCAACAAAACAGGCCCCAGTGCTATTGGTCACAGCCACACTCTTCTGGGTCCCTGTAGACCACATCTGCAAAAAGCCACAGGCTTTTGGGGCCTGGTGAACAGAGGTCAGCATATGACAGATTGTGTGCAGCCCAGAGCCCAAAGAGCCTATTAATATCTCTGCAACAATAGCCTTTCTGGGTGATACTAGTCCCATTATTCTCCTTGTTCCATTTTTCTGCCCAGACCCAGGGTTTCAGGAGCAAGCTCTGGCTCTTTTTGATGACAGGACTTGGTTGTGAGAAACCACAAATGGGAAATGATGGCATATGCACTCTGAGCCATATTTGCAGAGGACTTCACAGCAGTGGCACTCAGTACCCCAGCCATTGCAGGAGAAGAGCAGGCCTCTGTGTTTCCAGTAATTCCCTGAGGAGCCATTCTGCCACCAACTTACCACCCACCATGCAGCCCAATGCCTCTGGATCCTTTTTTTTACATCCCTGCCTCTCTAACCCCAGACTGATGCTAGATGCCAAAGTGATAGCCACTCTGTGGGTGCAGATGCAGGAACCAATGTGTCAGCAAAGCAGCTTGTTCCTCTGGGCAATCTGGATCCAGCTATAGATTGGGGAGGGGGAGTCATGAGGGAGAGTGCAGACCTGGGCAAGAAACACAGCAAAGTGCAATTTTCCTTAAGCACCTAGGAATCATAAGCTTTGCCAAACACTGTGGTGAATTTTGAAAATAACAGTTCTAACAGGAACAAGACAGGGATCTCCACTTTCACCTCTCTTATTCAACATAGTACTGGAAGTCTTAGCCACAGCAATCAGACTAGAATAAAAAATAAAAGGCACTTAAATTGGAAAGGAGGAAATAAAACTGTCATTATTTGCAGATGACATGATATTGTATATAGAAAACCCTAAGGACCCCACCAAAAAACTAATAGATTTAATAAATGAATTAGGCAAAGTAGCAGGATACAAAATGAACATTTGGGGGTCGATGGCATTTTTATACACCAATAATGAACTCTCAGAAAGAGAAACTAAAAATACAGTCCCATTTACCATTACAACAACAATAACAACAAATAAGATACCTGGGAATAAACTTAACCAAGGAGGTAAAATATCTGTACTTGGAAAACTATAGGACACTGAAAAAAGAAATAAGGAAAGACACAAATAAGAGGAAGCCGGAAATATACCGTGATGGGTTAGTTTAGTTGGCTTTCCAGGGATATCCAAAAACATATACCGTGTTTATGGATAAGAATAATTAACGTCATTAAAATGTCCATACTACCCAATGCAATTTATAGATTTAACACCATCCCTATTAAAATACCAATGGCATATTTCACAGATCCAGAACACTCCAAAAATTTATATGGAGCCAAAAAAGACCCGGAATAGTCACAGCACTCTTGAAAAAGAAGAATAAAATAGGAGGGATCACAATACCAGTTATCAAACTACACTACAAAGCCATTATGATCAAAACAGCCTGGTATTAAGACAAGAACAGGCATATAGATCCATGGAACAGAACCCAGAACCCATAAATTGACCCAAGCCATTACACTCAAGTAATATTTGACAAAGGAGGCAGAGCATACAATGGAGTAAAGACAATCTTTTTAATAAATGGTGTTGAGAAAACTGGACAGGTAAATGCAAAAAGAAAAAGAAGAGAAGAAAGAAACCAGACCACCAACTTACACCATACACAAGAATAAACTCAAAATAAATGTAAGTTGTGAAACCATAAATTTTTGAAAAGTTCTAGCCCTGGCCAGGTAGCTCAGTTGGTTAGAGTGTTGTCCCAATATGTCAAGATGCTGGGTTCAATCCCTGGTCAGGGCACATACGGGAATCAACCAATGAATGCCTAAATAAGTGGAACAACAAATATCTCTCTCTTTCTCTCTCTCTCTCGCTCTCTCATCAATTTAAAGAGTCATTATTAAACAAATAAAGTGTTTTTAAAAAAAACCCACAATTCTAGATTGGTTCCACTCTGTTCCCCAAATCTCTGTTGCTAACTGCAGTGCAAACAGGGAAATAACATTGTTTTTGTGATGAGTGTAAATGAGGAATAGGTAGACCTCCAGTCAATTAACTGGAGAGTCAGTTACTATTCAGGAAACATCTACTATGTGCCAGACACTGCTCTAGACACTAGGAATCCAATAGTGAACAAGACAGTCTCTGACCACAAGAAGCTTACAATTTAGTGGATGAGATAGGCAAGAAAGAGAGAAGGTAACTGGTATCCGTGAGTGCTATAAAGTAGACACAATATGGTGTGATATGGACAGACTAGGGTGGGATTGTGATTTTAGAGAAGGTGATCAGGGCAGGCCTCCTTGAGAAGGGGCATTTCATTGAGGCCTGAGTGAACAGAAGGAGTCAGCCATGGAAAAGGTGTTATATCAGAAGAAAGAGCAAATGCAGAAACCCTGGTGAGATAGGAAAGTGATTGGTTCACTCAAGGGCATAAACACAGATAGAAGGCCCAGACTCATTATCAGTATATCTTAGATGGGGGCCAGGAAGCTTCTTTTTTTATTGTTGACAGTATTACATTTTCTCCCTTTTTGCCTCCCTTCACCCAACACCTGCCCCACCCCAGGCCTTCCCCATACTATTGTCTGTGTCCATGGGCAATGCATATATGCGTATATGTTCTTTGGTTAATTTCTTCCTGTCCCCTCCCTCTCCTGAGATCTCTTATTTTGTTCCATACATCCATACCTCTGGATCTATTTTGTTCAGTTTATTTTGTTCATTACATTCCACATATAAGTGAGATCATGTGGTATTTGTCTTTCCTGACTGGCTTATTTCACTTAGCATAATACTCTCCAGGTCTCTCCATGCTGTCTCAAAGTGTAAGAGATCTTTTTTATAGCCGAGTAGTATTTTCTGTGTAAATGTACCACAGCTTTTTTATCCACTCATCTACTGATGGGCACTTGGGCTCTTCAGGAAGTTTCAGTGATAGATAGATAGATAGATAGATAGATAGATAGATAGATAGATAGATAGATAGATAGATATTATTGATTTCAGAGAGGAAGAGAGAGGGAGATAGAAATAGAAACATTAATGATGAGAGAGAATCATTGACCGACTGCCTCTGCACATCCTCTACTTGGAATCAAATCCACAACCTGGGCACATGCCCTGATCAGGGATCAAACCATGACCTCCTGGTTCATAGGTCCATGTTCAACTACTGAGCAACACCATCCGGGCCAGGAGGCTTCATTTTTAATAAGTATCACCCATGATTTTGAGGTGCAGGCCCAGTTGAGAACCCCCAGAATACACTGTATTCAGAACCCTGACCCAAGGTCTGCAACATCATCCTAGTGAGCAGACCTGTGCTAAGCATTGTTCACTGAAAAGGGAAAGATTTTCCAACAGTAATTTCACCAGAAAGTTCCTTGGGAGAAAGGACTTTTTGTATATTTAGTGCCTAAAATTGTGCCTAGTACACAATAATATCTGATGAATAAATGGTGGCTGGCAAAAAAGGCTCCTGATGTTCAATGAGTTAATTTTCAATGAACCAGAATTGTCTCAAACCTTCAGAAAAACAAGGGAAAAAAGCTGTTTCTTGTCTAGCTGGTGTGGCTCAGTGGTTGAACATAGACACAAGAACCAAGAGGTTGACAGTTTGATTCCCAGTCAGGGCACATGCCCAGGTTGTCTTGGTCCCCCCCGGTGGGGGAC